TGAGGCCAGAACCTTGGGGGGCAGCAGTATTTAAGAAGTGACATGAGGAAGACAAGTCAGTGAAGGTGACTGAGAAGGGATGGAAAGAGAAGTAGCAGAAAGTGTCACAAAAACCAAGGAGGTGGGAGAGGTCAACAATGTCCAATTCTATAGAGACTGAGGACGTTGGGAACTGAAGTATGACAAGGAAACCAGCAGTGACAGAATGTTCAGCGAAGAGGTAGAGACAGATGTCAGGTAACAGTGGGATGACATTACAGTAGAATGTCAAATAACTGAGGGGCACGGAAGTATAGACAACTTCTTTTTTAAAAGTTTGGCTTTGAATGGAAGAGGGCAAACAGAGCTAAAGATTCTAGGGTGGGGAGATTGAGTATATGGCCAAGAAAGGCAATACCTGATGAACTCAAGTTCTGGGGGAGGCTGAATGGGATGAAACAGAGTTCCAGAGATTGAGATAATTTTTCCACTAAAGTGAGAAGGAGAAATGGCATATAGAAGGTACTCAATAAATATTTTTGAATAAATAAATGTATAGACTGATGCAGTTTGCAGATCTTGAGATTTCATTTCTTTTGAGATCTCACTTTAAGGCAAGGGGATTGGGTCTTGAGGCATGCTGAGGCAGGACAAGACTTGCCGGTGTGAACGTGGTATAAGACAAATACAGTTGAAAGGCCTTTCTTCTGCTTTTCTTCAAGATGCCCTGATAATAACTGCCTCAGTTTCCTCACTTCTTAGGGAAGACAGAATTTGAGATAAGAGGAGTGGTGAAAGGAGGAAAAATTGGTTTTACAAAAAGAAGCCTGGATCAGGAGTAAGAAAACCTTGGATTCTAGCCAATTTCTGTAGTTTATGGCCCACATGACTTCAGACAAATTGGATAACTGTGTATCCAGTTTCTGCATTTATAAAGAGTATGTGATACTACTGTCTCTTTTTCACAGATTATTTTACAGATTGCTTTCAACTATATATATACTTAAAATATTAGAAACATTTGGAAAGCACACTACAGATATAAGGCCCCATTAATATATACTCCAGACATTCTGATAATGTGGGTTGTTTCTGGGGGTTACCCGTGGAGCTGTCTAATCTTGTCTACCACATATACACATATGATGTTCCCCTGAAGTGCTGCTTGTCAGGATTTTCTTGGCTACCACACGTGCTGAGCGCTTGGCCTGATAGTGCAGAGCATTATTCCCACTGGCATAGAAAGTGCCTGGAGGGAGAAGCATATTGAAATCAGAAATTCATTACTTTCTCGAGAGTAGGACATACAAAGTTCAAACAGCCTTATAAATTGCCTCCAGAAATTATAAGGCAAAAATTAACTCTGCCTCAAAAATTTGCATCCACATTTAGGAATGCCACTTCCCCCTCTCTGCTGATTATTTCTATCTCCATTGCCACAAATCCAAAGACAACACAGGCATTTGCCTCTGCAGAATTCCTCAGCTTTTCTATAGAGATAAATGAAAACTAAAGGCGTAAGGTATATTTGTCATCTTTTAGCCCAGCTCCTGGATTCCTATTAGGCCCTTTGACTAACTTACATCATGCAGTCTCTGATGACTTTTAGATTCCGGCTATGTGGAAATAACTGTTTTCATAGCTGGGATAATGGGTATAAATTAGACTAGTAATACCTGACATCTACTTCTCACTAACATTGTAAAGGTTAAAGAGATAGTGCCTATAAATCAATTTGTGTTCTTCATCTTCATCTAAAAGCATTTACTATGCTAAATTGGACCAGGCATGGGTGAGAGACTGTGCCACATATACTTATTTACTTGTCAATTGTGTGTTTTGAAATCAGATTTCTGGGTTATTTGCTTTGTTCTTTCTCTTGTGGCTTCGTTTCCAAAAAGTGACTTCACTAGTCTTAAACTTTAACAGTCATCATCAGAGGCTTTAGTTCTTCATTTAGCTTTCCTATTTTAATGTTATAGTGTTCTCTTCCATGACTCAATTTATCAGATGTCTTTTAGAGTGAACAAAGAAGAATTTTTTTAAACATAATAAAGTAACCCATTTTGGCTATGATTAATGAAACCTATAAATAGTAGACCTAAGGAAGAGAAAGACACAAGATCGATAAAGGTTTTAATATAAAATTAAGTACAGAAAAGTAAACCAAGGAGTGGGACCTAACCCACAGGAGGTGTGCAACAATAATTTGTTTCTGTTGAAGTCCAACAGAAAAGTGAGAATTCTCTTGGATAGAGGCATGGTTCAAAGAGGGTATCTGTAATCCCTTGGGAACAACCTGCATCTCTCAATTTACTCTGTAAGTGGTTGCAAATGACTTAAAGATTTGGCCCCTTCAAATGAAATATTTACAAATTATGGCTCATGGAGTCCACCACCAAAATGTATGGCCAGAAAACCTAAAAAGTTATCTTTTATATAAATTGGAGGCTTAGAAATGTTTTATTCTTTTTTCTAATAGCTAATTAACACATGTAAGGCAGTCTAAATTTTTATTTTTATTTTTTTAAGACAATGTAAAATTCCAGATAGAAACAAGAGAGAGAGGGCCTCTGTTTTGGTGATGTAGCATTTGTTGACATTCCAAAAGCACAAACACATTTGAATAACTAGCTGCTATTAGGAAAAAGAACAAGATTTAGGATCAACATTGTGAGGCACAAAATGAGAACAATGAGTATGTAAAGGGTGATTACTAGAAATTATACTGTTATGGTGCAGAAAATATTAAACATACATACAGAATACATATTGAAAACAAAATGTTCTTATTTAACACTTTATTATTCTGGACGTAAATAATAAGGATCTTAACCTACAAGCTTGGGAATGAAAAAAATGTCTACGTGTACACACACACATGCATATATATGACTATAAGCTCTCTGATCTTCATACTCCCTCCAAGGGCTTTGAATAGGGCAGTGCACACGATGGATACTTAATACATATTTTTGAATGAAATAATGTACATTTGCTGTGCTATAACTTACTTTTATATGACTGGCACAAAGTATAAAGGCACAGATTTATTGCAAATAATTTTTTTTCTTCTTTGAGACTTTACTGGGCCCCAAGCAGTGTAAGATAGGGAGCACTGGAAGAAACCTAGGGAATGTTGGCATCCAAAGGCTTGCTAAGTATAATACACGGACGTCTTCATTATGGTCATTTGGGAGGACACACAACAATCTGCGGAACTGATCCAAAGGCAGCTGATGCTTGAGCTATGGACAATAGCCCAACTTTTCATGTTTCCTCTTTTGCAAAAACATAACAAGGAAGGGAGGAAGGAGGAGAGGGAGGAAGGAAGGAAAGAAGGAAGGAAGTCATCTGGAACTAATTATTAATATGATTAACATGATTTTTTTGATCTTTTATTGAATTCTTTATATAACATTTGCAACGAAAACACTTTAAATCCAATGACAAATTTAAAAAATAAATCAGATAAAAATACCACATAAACAATACTCACAGGTATTTACTGATATTTACTTAACAGGAGGTCCAAAATTATTATGACAAAAACATCATAGGTCATGGTATAAGAGCTTATTTTAACTTTACATTGATATGTGATAAATTAACATAATTCAATGCCAAAAAAAGACAAATATAGAAAAAATATAAAATATATGTTTGATTTTACATCTTATTTAGAATTCCATTATTTGCTAATATCATTGTTTAAGAATGATTATTATTTCATTTGATACAAAATAATACTTGCTTAACATAATTATTTGATGAGGAGAATTAAAGATTAGAAAAATTTAAATTGATATAATAAGCATATGGTCCATTTAAATATTCACAGTAACATTGCATTGCTAATCAGTAAAAGTACAGAATGTATCACAGACTGTTGACTTACAAGGGAAAGCAGTAACAGTGTCTATCTGTTGTTTGAGAAAATAATAAAAATGAATGCAATATTGTGCCATGGATTAACACATGAATGCTCTCCATATTCAAACTGAGCAGTCATCAGATTTTAATCTTATTTGGGAAAATCCTTAAGTGAATTTTTAAATATGTGGAAAAAATTTACCAAATATTTGAACTATGGCTAGATGTTAATAATACTATTATCTAATATTTGATAACCAATTCTTTTTTAAAATAATTATGGGAAATGGGTTTTCTTAAAATGTTATCTCTCCTCTCCCCCTTCCCTGTCCTCCCTTAATCACAGAATACATGCAATGAAAAATGGTTACTATGGTGGGTTGGGTTTTATTTCTCTGGTTCAGAATAGCTGCTGTTTCTTGGGTTGATTATTGCTGCTTTCAACTGTTCAGAAATGTCATTATAACAAAGTTTTTAAAAAGAAGATTAAAAAGATCAGTGAAGGGCCGGCCCGGTGGCGCACTGGAGAGTGCGCTGCTTGGGAGCGTGGCAGCGCTCCCACTGAGGGTTCGGATCCCATGTGGAGACCGGTTCCCGCTCACTGGCTGAGCACGGTGCGGGCGCAACACCGAGGGTTGCGATCCCGTTACCGGTCAGTAAAAAAGACAAAAAGGAAAAAAAAAAAAAGATCATTGAAAAAGATCTTTTTTCAGTCTAGCATTTTGGCATCAAATGATTTAGTGTCTGTGGTCAGGTAGGTAGAAAATGTTTGGATATCACTCTGTGGAAGGACAATAGTTCGGGAGTACCCAAAAAGGTCTGACAATAACAACAACAATGTCTTTTCACTAAAACCTGAAATTTCCCAATGTATCTTTCAAAATTAAATTTTAGTCAGTTTTAAAGATAATGGCAGTAACAGGATAAAAACATGTCAGAGGGTGAATAGTGTAAAGAACATGAGATTTAGAATAATTTACTGGATGTTTTAAAGATTAAATAAGATATGTGAATGATCTTTGTAAAGTATGATATAAACAAATGTTATAAACAAATACACAAATGTTAGACTCTGAAAAAACTGAGGTGTTGTATTTGTTATTCTGACCTCTGTATAATTACCATCTGTATAAGATTTCAAAAATAGATTCTTATAACATTTGGCATATTACATACAAACACTACATACACTGTTTGCCTTCCCTTGTATGTATATACACATATGTACACACATACACACATATGTAGGAGCTTTTTAATATAAATTATACCATTTTATGGGGTAATTCCAAAAATGGTCTATACAGTGCCTTTCAAAGAAAAAAAGGAGGATATTATTTGGTTTATAGTCATACAATTTTATGGCATTTAAGAAAAACACTTTGACAGTTTTAAGTAAACTAAATACTTAACCTCTCCCATCCCCAAACCCCGAATTAAGAGATCAAACCATAGAGGCAATTTACTGGAAGAGATAATACTATGGTTTGTTTAGTATGGTCAGTTCACAAACTGTTTTAAGATGCAGTATTAATACAATATGCTAGAATCACCACTTAGCAAATTTTCATCAACTTAAAAAATGAATGAAATCACTTCTCACAAAGATCACTAACACTAATACATAAGAGACTCAATTATACCTAAAGTGAACATTCAGATTCATAAAATCAAAACTATGAGTTTAAATGTTTTAATTAATTGCTTCACTAGTCAAAATATACATTTCCTATTATGATAGAGGCCTTTGAAAACTTCCCCCTTTTCTGAATGGAAGGGATATAAGACTAAACTTCTGAACAAATAGTCTCATATGACAAAATATTTCCGTATTATTCAAATGAACTGCTATTATTTTAACAATTTCTCTAGTGTCCAAATTTGAGCATCCTTCTAATATAATCTCTACCATAAAATCAGCAACCAGAATATACTCCTGTTTTTCAATGCGTAGAGTCACCTCTTATTTATTGTACAAAAGTTGTACAAAAGCTATACTCCTTCTTTTCCCAACTGTCCACTAATGCCAAACAGAAGTGTTTGGGTTATCCCTGAATTTTGTTTCTCACTCCTGAGCAAAATTAATTACAATATGGCTCTATCAGGCCTCATTTGTATTAAAAAATTCAGAAAATCTTGTGAATATTATTTTAAATTATAGTCATTGCTTCTGGGACCAAAAGGGCATTAACTTTTCAATGTGACAAAAATGCACCTTACAAACAGCTACAGTTCATTGGTAAGCATTATATATTTGACTCTGATTGCAAAGTGTTTCTACAAAAATTTAAAGAGATTAACTTGAACAGACATTCTGTTTAGGTAACTAAGCATTCAAAGATGAAACGATAAGTCATAATAATTAAGCCATGTTCAAAATGAAAAGTAAGATTTAACTTTTTTATGTCTTGCTGACATCAATTAGCAATATTAGAAATATGAATGTATGGATTTGCAATCTGTCCAGTCACTTAGTGACTGAAGGGGAGCAACATGTACATGTATGCATATATTATAACAATCTGAAAATGTTATAGAAGTTTTGAAGATGAAAAGAAACAAAGAGATCACTAAATTTTAAAAGTGTTCACTACAGATAAAGAAACTGGGGCCCGGAGAAGTTGAAGGGACTTTCCCAGGGCGCACGAGAGTTATTGGCAGAGACAGCACTACAGCACAGACACCTGCTTAAGCTCTTACCACACCGCTTCTTGTGTAAGAAGAATCCAAAGATCATAAGGCAAACACTCCTATTGCTCCAACCTTTTCCACCTTTCCCTACTCTCAGGCTTATTACGTTGAGCATGCAATAAAGCTCTTGTGCTGTTTTAGTGCTTCACATACGACTTTCATATCACTGTAACACCTAATTAAATTTAACAAAGATCCTCCCCTCCTTTCTAGCTATTTCATTTATCTGTTTCCATTCTGCACAGTGATTTTTCTACTTTTTCATGATCCCATTATAGATCAGTGAAAATTCTTAGAGGAGAAAGAATCTTATTTCCTCTTAATCAATTTGAAGAATGATATATTTATATTTTCAATGCCTCAATTGTATTTCAATTTATTTTTTCCTTCAGAAATGCACTAGAAAATCTTAGTATGTAAGTATTCTTCAATGTATTTTTTCACATGTGTATAATGAGAATTTGGGCGCTGGAAAGGGCTTTGGAGAATATTGAACCCGGTACACCGATTTTGCAATTCAAGAAACTGAAGCCTAGCAATGGTAACTGACTTATCTAGGGTCCCACAGGTAGAAAGTGGGTAAGAATTCTAGTCTCCTGTTATCGAGACCAGTACTATTTTTACTACCCATTCTGTGAAACATATTTGGTGTAACAGTTTACTCATCTGTTACCATCTTGTGCTTTTATCACAAAAGTCCAGGTTTTGTCTTTATTTGAAATTGTGAGCTATAATAATAAAGCAGATATGATATTAAATATACTTTAAAGCTTGAAGTTGTATCACTGGTGTTTGATGAAGGTAGTTTTGTGTTTATTTTTGTAACACCTACTGATCCTTACTAAAACATCTGAATGTCTAAGACCTCCTGTAGCACAGTTGATTGGTTTGTTTCAATCATCCCAGTAGCTAATGTGGATTACGTTACTGCTGACTAGGCTGTGATCATCAGTTATGAGAATTAAGTTAGCTGTAATGAACTAACTATTTTCTGGGCCAATATCTCTACTACATGGGCTAACACAGAACAAAAACAAGGTGGTGGCTGTTTTTTCACTTTAATCATAGATCATCTAGATTGGAGGTGCACATAGCTCAAACCTGAGATACTTGTCATTCCTTTATTTCACTTTTTCCTATAGTGATCTGGTATCAAAGTTTTGATCACTAAGAAATTACCATCAGATTATGAAAAATTCATTGCTGACATGCCTCAAAGAAAGTTACCTGGATTGTATCTCCTGTTCATCTGTTTTGCTGCTAGTTGTTTAAGACTGTTTTAGTTACTGATTCTTACATACTAAAATGAAATTCATCACTTGTATTTTCTTCTATAGGGCATCAAAAAGTTTATAATCTTGGCTTTGCTATGGTAATATTTTTATAGTAATTGAAATTCTACAAATGCTCTTATTATAACTTAGCATTAATATGCATTTGAATAAAAGGAGATTGGTTATTAATGCATTTATTCAGGTATATTATGAAAATAAAATATGGAAATGAAAAAAGTCTTCTATATACTACATGTTCACAGTTTGACTTTCTATAAGGCTTATGAAATAATATACCAGTAGCTACCATTCTGCTGAAATGTCACAGTAAATACATTAATAATGGCACAAAAGTGAAATGTCCCCAAATGGGAAACCATCTTTATAACCTCCTAAATCTCTTTTCCAACTAAAACTTTGCTTTTTTTTCCCTTTTAATTGAAAAAGAGTTCCATTTTTAAAAGAATATAAAAATAGAAAATGAGTCAAGAACTTATTACATACATAATTTTGAAGAAAAAGGTATAAATATTAGATGAAATATTATAGATATCTTTAAGAATGTGCTTTGTCTCACCATACCAAACATCTCATGTAAATGAAATTAAATAAATATATTAATATGAACTGTTGGAAAGCATAACTAAATGTTAAAATTTTAGTTAAGATACATAACTTAAACATATAAATACCAATATATTTTTGTAAAGTTAAGCTCAGCTAAAATCTATCTATAAGACTGATTTGCAAATCTATCATTCTGAGTTAAAAAATAAAAGAATGTTTAATCAAGCAAGGCACATTTCTTTTAGGCAAGTCTGTCTTTAATACTATTCATCTGGGCACAGTGTAGACTTCACTTATTTATGTGTAGATGAGCTAACCTATGTATGAGAGCCTTTGGTACAAAACACACCTTCACAAATAAAGTTGTACATAAACCAGAACACAAAATATAACATGAAAATATCTTATGATTAAACACAGTTGAGTAATTAATTGAAAAAAGAAAACAGTAATAGTTAGCTTGTTAGAAACAAATATTTAGGCTTTCTTTATCCACAGCACTGCTTATGGTTTTCGGATAATTAGGTGTCATCAAAATGCCAAAGGGTCGAAAAGATACCTTTATATTTTTAACATTCCTCTTTATCTTTTGATCAATATCTTTTATACTGCACACATCGTGAAGAGAATCCTCCAGCTTCAGACCTGTTTTCTTTTTATAAAGCACTTGTTAGAAACATATTATTTAATGTCAACTGAAACAAAAATATATGCTGGCAGACAGTGACATAACTGCCACTGCATTCTTGATCTAGGCAATTTAAAACTGAGCATCCTACTGGTCAATGCAGGTCTATGGTTCTTTATGTGGGGCTCTTCAGAGATCTGTTGGACAGAGTAAACACAGCAATTTACAATCTATTTAGCTTTTGAAAAACTATAGACTTATGTCATTAGAAAATGTTCCATTTATTATATTTTTAAAAACTTTGTATTTATTGTTACCTTAAAAAGTTCAAGTAATTTAATTTTCTAAATGTATTAACTACATATTGAATGCTTTTAATTTATAATTTAGAAAAAGTTTCAGAGTATGCTGAAATTATAAACTTTTTTCCCATTAATAATGACCCCTAAATTTTGCCCAAACAAATGTGATAGTTTGCTTTTTGAACAGGAATCTTTGTCTTTGGAACCATCTAAAAAGTTCTGAGTACCCACTGATTTTTATAAAAATGTACGTATTAATTTTCTCAATGTATTTCCAAGGATTTGTTTCTTTTGGGGCTGCATGTCCTACTGTGGTAATCTAAGATGAGAAATTTGAAGTGAGTAGAAAATCCCAGGCTCAGATAAGTGTCATGGAGAGAAAGAAAAAAAGAGAGCGAGAAGGTCTCAAAATGAGTACTATGAAAACCAGGTGCTATGTGCTACAGGATGTCATGCGTACAGTTTATCTTTTCATTAAAAACAACTTTCAAATCCATTAATTCTTTAAGATATGAACTTTGCACAGTTATGCACCACTTCAAAATATCACAAATTAAGATCACCACCACCACTTGACCAGGGTCTATAGAAAACCAAGAAATAAAGGTTAAAAGATTGGTGCTCCCCTCCCTCAACTACAAAATAAATATTTAGAAATGTTGACAGTAAAGTATTTCTTAAAAATAGCATAAGGAAATATAACAGTCTTATTCACTGCTATATCCAGAATCTAGAATGGTGTTTGGCCCATAGTGGACACTTTATATGCTGAATGGATGAATAAATTCTCACCACTTTCCATAGTCTGACACACAGGAGGTACTCAGTAAATATATGGTGAGTGAATAAATGGATATATAAAAATTAGATTTATGTACTCTAGAGATTTATGAACTGTGTAATATAAAGGACATTTATAAAGATAAAAACAGAAAATGCTATAAATCCAGCTCCAGGTTTCAATATGTGAATATTATCCATCACAATACATAAAGAAGATTGTTTCCCACACATACTCCTGGTTTTAGCAGGTGCCCCCAAACCAGTGGTAAAAAGACGGTGATCTAAAATTTGAGTGTGCTTTTGATGGAAGAATCATTCACTTACTAAATTAAATACTGTATGCCTACTGTAAGCTAGGCAATCATTTATTGAAGCTTTCTTATTGGCCTGGATTATACTTGATCAAAGATATAACTTCTTAACACTAATTTTTAGTCAAAAAGCAAAAGTATATCCACAGTATGCTTAAATTTCATTATGAGATACTACAAATTATAATGGTCTAAGAATTATTGACTATTAATTATAAGAAATTACAAGTAACATGAATAACCTGGCATCCACTTTGTTTCCTGAGTGCCCTAGCCTCTGTTCAATGCTACTGCAGCCTTGTTTATCTTGAGGTGGTTGTATTAAACTATGCTTGTCTTGTTGCTGTTATGTCCCTTTTAAATAAGGAATTGAGGGTTTTTTTAAACCTTATGTATCAACACCTGCCTCTTAAGGCTGCTGGGATTATGAAATAAGAATGGTATAGCGGGGCATCCTAATAGACTATAAGTGTGAAGGGAGTTGCAATTCAACAGAAACAAAAAATAAAAGTGATATCAGAATAGTAATTTTAATGTTTATATTAGTGGCTAAGAAGTGGGTTGAAAGGCTTAGAAGAACAGACATTGAGTAGAGTATCAAAACCAACTTAAAAAGATATGGAGGTATAGTAGAAAATGATGACCTATAATTGAAGATATTCAACCAAGTAAGTGTTCTCACATATAAAACAAGAAAAGATAAGAGCAGTCAAATTTCAATAATTATCAAATTTGTGAAGAAGTAATTAATACCTCCACTAAGGCCTAAATGAAAGAAGTACAGAAACCCAGCTTACCTAATTGCTAGCTTCACTAACTTGTATCTGAGGAGGAAAGAGTTGAGATCATTCTATAACATGCAGTTTTATGGGAACTTTGTTTTCATGTGTCTATCCTCTGACATCTACTAAATTACTAGAGTTGGCAGCACACCAATAAGTTCTACAAATTCTACCAACTTAATGGTAATGAATAAGGCCAAGGACTAGAGAGATTTCTTACTTATTATGTACAATTATCTGATTGGGGTCTTGGAAATTATGTACTCTTGGCAAGCAAAAGATATTTAAACCCACTCAGTAATTAAAGTTAGTAATATGCTAAGTTGTGAGCATTGCCAAAAAATTTGGAAAGTCATGGGAAATGAGCTGTGAGGTAGTTTAAGCAGTATTTAGGTCTACTAATAATAAATATCCTCAACTCACATAGGTACCCAGTAAAATAAACTGCTCTTTCTGAATCAGTTAAAATGTTTGCAGGTAAAAGGTCTATAGAATCTAGGTATAATGCAATTCAAACACAATTCTTACCTGGATAAATTATTTCTGTCTATGATTTTTGGTTACCTTTAGAAATCTGATATATAGTCACTCTTGTTTAACATGCTTTTCACCATAATTTCTTATAGAAATAATATATTATTGAATATCTGATACTTTATTGCTCTGTAGTTATACACAAGGTAAATTCAAAATGTATTCCATAGGCAGTACATGAAGCTGCCTCTTAAATATCTAATACCCTGCCTAAACAAGGTTATTATAGAAAAATCAAGTAAAACCCACATTGAAATAAATAATGTCATAATCCCTCACCCAAAACCAGAAAAAAAGGAAACCATGAAAAAATAAGAAATGAAAAGTATTCATTTCAATTCCCTATTTTCTGTCATTTTAAAAAAAGGCCCTAACAGTGTGTCCTCAGAAGAGAGAAATGATCTCTGTCCTATGTGGGTTTAACTGTACAAACTGATGAAAGGAGAAAAGAGTTTCTAACTTCTGCTAGTCTACATTTGCAAACTCAACCACATAAATTAGTTTTTAATTTGTTGATACATTTGGTAAGGAAATTGTGCCACTTGAATATGCAGAGGCAACAGACCAGGTCATCCGTTGGCCTGGTTTGCCTAGAAAATCCAGGCAAAGGAGAAAATTCAGAAGGTGTGTGGACAATGTTCCTGAGAATCCTCATTTCCTACTGCAGAGGAAAGTACATCTTTTACAATATTATCTAAAATCATGACAATATCTGCAGTACTCATATCAATGTTTTAATCTGTTTCAGTCATTCCATACTACATGTGTTGGTTTCTCAAAGCTGACAGGAATCTCCCAATACCAACACATACTACTGAATTGCCTCTCATCTTCCATCTTATTCTCTGGAAGTGGTCTAGGTTTTGCCATTATAAAAGTCACTCTACGAATCTGCTCTTATTTTTCATGGATTAAATGTCCCCATCTCCTTTCATGTATGAACAATCACTTTTAAAAAACAGCTCATTTCTGTGATCCTACCATATAACTAGATAATTACATTTAAAATTAGGTTACTTTGTAAAAGAAACAATTTTATCCAGTAAGGCCCTATCTACAATGATGTAATTCTGTAATGTGATTCACTGGTAAAATCTCTAATGTCTGATTCAATCAACTTCCATAGTAATGAAGACTCCATGGATTTATAGGACTCACCATTATTGAAACCAAAACTGATCTTACAGGGAAGTTTCTTAGAATGTCTACTAGATAGGTAAGTCCCTTGGAGATATCATTTGTTTGTTCTAATTTTGCTGTGTCACTTGGATTAATGAGTCAACATATATACTGAGTATCATTTATAAACAGCACTCTATTAGTTGTTATATAGGAAACATGGTCTTTGTGAAGCTTGCTAACTTCCAGGTACCTTTGGCAATATCTCATATAATGTTATATATAAGTTATTTACATTAAAGAATTCAATCCCCATAATTGGGTAGTACTTTTTGTAAGAAACTTGCTGGAGCATATTTTACCAAATTGAAACCTTTTCCAGTAAACTGATTACAAGGACTTTAATACATTAGAGCATGGTGAGGAGTATTAGCCACATAGTGATTAAAATGAAGCATAGATGCATGACATGAAAATTTTGTTTATAGGTTAAAATAACTCAAATTGGAATGCCATTTCCTTCCTCTTATCTCTCCCTCCAATAAATACTTATTGAGTGCCAACTGTATTCCAGGCAGTATTCCAGGTCTTAGGGGATATAGCACAATGAACAGACAAAAATCATTATCCTCATGGAAGGGAAGGAAAACAGATAACAAACAAAATAAATAAAATATTAAATATGTTAGAGGAAAAATTAAGCAGAAACAGGATATAGGGGGTTTTGTGGGGCTGCAGTTTTGAGTGGCCAGGGAAGGCCTCAATGAGAAGGTGACACTGGAAAGAGGTGATGGTGTGAGCAATGCACATATCAGATACTAGAACATCCCAGGTAGGGGGAACAGCAAGTACAAAGACTCTGAGGTGGAACGTGCCTGATGTATGTGAAGAAGAGCAAGGAGGCCAGTGTGGCTGCAGATCAGGATCAAATGGGAGAGGAGTTGGTAATGAGGACAGAAGGGTAAGGGGAGACTAAACTGGATAGGGACTTGTGGGCCATTGTAAGGCCTTTAGTTTGTACTCTGTGTGAAGTAGGGAGCCAAATGGTGGTTTTGACACAAAGTAACACAACCTGACAAGTGTTTTAAAAGGATCACTCTGGATGTTGGGAACAGACTCAAGTAATGGAAAGGATGGAAACTGGAGGATCAATCAGGAGAATAGTGTAAAAATCCAGGTGAGAGATAATGATGGCTTAGATCAGGTGACAGCAGCAGAAGTCGTAAGAAGTGGTAAAGCTCTTGTAACGTTTTAAAAATATAGCCAACAGGATTTGCCAATAGATTGGATAAGGGTATGAGAGAAAGAGAATCAAGGACAATTCTAAGGATTTTAGCTGAAGCAACCAGGAAATTGAAGTTGCCACTAGTGGAGATGGGGAAGAGTGTAGGAGGCACAGGCTTGATGTTGGGAGGGGGAGGGAAGTTAAGTTTTGGACATACTAGGTTTGAGATGTATCTTAGATATCCAAGTAGACAGGACAAGTAGATAGTCGGACAGTTGGAAATTCAATCTGGAGTTCAGGGAAGAGGTCTTGGTGGGAGATTTAAATTTACATATTGATAGTCTAATGCTATGAGAATGGGACTGAGTGCAGAAAGAAAAGAGGTCTAAGGATTGAGCTGCGGCCTGTGTGGCTCTCCAACATTACGACCCTGGAGAGATGAGAAAGAATCAGTGAAGAAGACTGAGAAGGAGAGGCCAGAGAGGTACCAAGAAAATACAGTGTGGTATTCTGGAAGTCAAATAAAGGAAGTCTTCCTAGGAAGGGGGAAGTATTCCACCATGCTAGCTGCTTCTGATATTTCAAATGAGTGTTAAGAAATGACCACTGGGTTTAATTATATGAGGTCACCAGTGACTTTGATAAGTACATTTTTGATGGAGCAATAGGGGTGAAAGCCTGTTTGGAGCAGACTCAGGAGAAAATGGGAAGGGACTGAATGGTGAACAAAGAGAGATACAGTCCCTACTTTCAAGAAAGAAATAGAAATTAATTATATAACAAAAACAAATGCAAAATTGCAGCTATGCCAAGATCATATACTGTATTTTTTTTTTTTTTTGTCTTTTTCATGACCGGTAAGGGGATCGTACCCCTTGGCTTGGTGTCGCCCACACCACGCTCAGCCAGTGAGCGCACCGGCCATTCCTATATAGGATCCGAACCTGCGGCGGGAGCGGCGCTGCGCTCCCAGCGCTGCACTCTCCCGAGTGCGCCACGGGGCCGGCCCCATATACTGTATTTAATTCATTCTAAGATATACTTTTTTAGATTTGAACATCTACGAAATTGGGATGTATCCCTATTTTAATTACTGGTAACTTACCCTTATAATTGGCAGTTTTTCTTTTTATTTTTAATGGTACATAAAATAATGGTGGTTCTTATAACCAAAGGCATCTCAAATTTGATGAACTGCTATACTGTAACTTTGAAATTGTTAAAACCAGATTACTGAGAGATGTCTTGGAGGAAGTAACTGAAGTAAAAATAGAAGTTAAGGAGGAGAGCAAGGAAAGAGGGGGCTGCCTGTGGGAACATTTGCAAAGATCCCCAAAGCTTAAGGTGGAAAGAGAGCTTGTCCTGTAACTGGAACAAGACCAGGGTGGCTGGAGCACTATAGAATGAGGGGAAAAGCACGGGTAAGGAGGAAACAAGGCTGGATAGGAGATTACGTGTAGCTGGATCATATGCGGCCATGAAGGCTATGCTAAACTAAGCCTTTGGGTCTCTATGCTAAGAACAAGGAGAAGACCCTGAAAGAATTTTAAGCAAGAGTGGGTGATATAATCAGATTTCAGTCTCAGAAAATATCATTCTGGCTACCAGATGATGGAGAATAGGTCAGAGAATGGTCACAGGAAACAGGAAATGTGAAGAGGCCAGTTAAGAGGTCTTTACACTCTATCTAGGATAGAGATGATAGTTGCGTGAATTAGAGTGGTGGTAGCAGCAAAGTAGAAAAATGGACTGTTTTTAGAAATATTTGGGAGGTTAAATGACAAAATTGAATGTATTTACTATTTTTTGAATCTATTATTTCATTAATAAATACACTGAAAACACTGAGCAATAAATCTGCCTTTTAAGCAAGGCTGGAAAAACATTAAAATGATTTGTAAATATTTTTGCTGCACACATGAATAAAAACCAATATTTTGGAAATTCACTAATTTTCAGGGAAAAAATCAGACCATTTATATCTACAGACAGAAAACAAATATACTGCAAGATAGGCAGTAACTTTTGAACAGGTGAGGTGTGGGTGTGTGAGTGTGTAATAAATTGTCCCCACTGGCTTCTCTTCCAAACTAAATTATATGTTTTAACTTAGAATTCAGAGAGAATTTTCCATAAAGAACTGGAGTTTACAATAAACTTAATGGAAATAAATAACAGTGCTGACTGACATATAACGCATAGGTGCAATGCTAACTTTCATTCTAAAAAGTTGGTGGGGATCTTAGTAGAGATTCCCAGGAAGCTTTGTGCTATTGAGAGCTGGGGTGGGTGTGAGGTTAAAGGTTCACTGGAGAAAAAGCTTCTCCCCTATGACCACACAGTAGGATACGACTCCCCTGTATCTGCAAAGTTAGAATCCTGCATGAACAGGTTATTCATAAAATCCTTCAGATATGATGAAACATCATTTTTTGTTTAAGTGCTATTTTACCCACATTCAGAATCACAGGCTTTAATTTTCAGGGCAGCATTCCTATTCTGCACTATTATGTTACAACAATAATAACACAGTTCCTAAGAAAATGATGAAGCCTCTTTTCCTTCTTAAATCTCTTCTTTAATGCATGTGATGACCAGTGGTGCAAATTTTCAAATGTAAGGAAAAAGACATCCAGTACGAAAAAGAAAAAAGAAAAAAAGATAGAAAAACCATGAGAATGTTTCTATGTAAAATGTATTTTTTTTCACAGTTTGGAAGAGAAAATTAGTTCATAGCAGCATTAGAAACCAAGACAAACATCTAAAAGCTTTCTAACTAGTCTGAACCATTTAAATTACATTCACAAGCTGAATATCAGTATATAAAGAATACTATCATATGCCATATAGCAATGGCCATTTTCTGACAGGAGGTTAGGAGCTGAGAAACACAATAGCATGGCTTCTCCTCCCTTCTTCCTGCCTCCTTTGATTTACCTTCTCTCAAAGGTTATCAGCAGCCCCTGAAGGTATATTAAAAAACAAGTGATTTCATTAATACATATATAAAATTGTCACAACAAAATATAGGAAATTAGTAGTAGAAAAAACCAATAGTTTTATCCTTCTTAGTTTAGAATAACAAACACAAAACAGAAAAAAAAAATTTCACCCTAAAATGTAATCCCTAAATATCCTTTTCCCCATCCTTATGCTCCTCACCTCTAACTCACAGTGTTTCCATAAGTCTTCAAGATTGGGGGACACGTGTGCTTCTTTGCATTTCTTAGTGGGAGGGTTATCACTTCTATTCACAGCTGAGAGGTGGGAAGGACTTGGACTGCTGTAAAAACATTGAAATTTTAAATGTATAGAGGTTAATAAATTGTAGTTATGATTCTCAAATGAGTAGACTACTGGTATATATTATATATATTATATTTATATACTATTAGCAAAGTAACTACTTATGTTATATGCTGAAGAGGTAAATAACAAGTTTTATGTAAACTAACCATAACTTTAAATTTCTTCATACTGTGCATTTAAAATTTCAATCCTAAAATTATATTTCAAAGTTTAGAAATAACTGATATAACATTTCTTCATGTGTAAGTGTTTGTGGTTATGTCACCATAGTCAGTGTATACTTAAATTTGGCACGAAATCAATTCAGAATACCATAAAAGAAATAAAATAGTATCAGTGTTAACTTCTGTGCTTCTCTCTGGGTTCACCAGGTGTTGGGTATATACATTTCCTCCAGGTGCACTGATTCAGTCACACCTCCTCACGTGAATCTCCTTCTAAACACAGATATGTTTATACCTTTTCAACACTCAAGACAGGCAACTGAGCTCAACAGTGAAGGCTGTAGTTTGGCAAAGTTAACTGGCATGTGCAAAAGTAGACTAATTAGTATTTTGCTCTAAGCCCAATTTACTATCTATTTTCATTTCATAAATGATTTAGGACCTTACGAAGGGGCTATAGATAATACGTAAGTCAAAACTATATTCTAATTTTTCTTTAGAGCATAGATGCTCTTAAAGATCCCTGGATTGGTTGAGTAAGGCAATAATGTCACAAATTTCAATGAACTGGCAATCTCCTGCTTTCAATCCTTTTATTCTAAGTATTTTCTCCCTTCTTAACAAGGGAGAGTCAAAATGTTTATAGTGTTTCTGGCATAGGTTTTCAGTAACTTAAGCAAAGTATATAAGGAGGTGAAAAAACAATAATTTGCATAGTACTATTACCTATTGCTGATTAAAAAACATGAAAACAGGAAATTAATCTTAAAATGGAAAAATATCCATTGTTCTAGCAGGTATCACTACTACGACCGATTATACTTTCTAAGATTAAATCCAGATAAATCAATTATATAAGAAAATAATCTTTTATTACTAGAACAGTCAATCTCTTCATCTGACTTAACTTCTATTTGACACTTCTGTTTAATATCTGATTATTTCAAAAGGGTTAATTTTCAGTATACTGAATGAAGTGGGTTTCTGGAGATATGTTCTTTACAAGAACTCATTAATGACTAACATGGGTTGAAGTAAAATTTAAAAGCATAAGAGATTTATTTTATCTTTCATGTCATCCAAAAGAAGTAGCATAGGTTTTGGAGCCAGAATGCCCTTGCTTTAAATCGTTGCTGGGTCTCTTGCTAGCTGTGAAGTCTTAGGGAAATTGCTTAGCCTTAGCCATTTATTTTTTACCCTCCTAATATGAGGTTAATAGCACTTACCTTTCAGAGTTGGCAAGTGTCCCGAATATGGTTGACCCTTAATAAATGGTGATTATTATTGTTATTATAGAAAGGAAACAGGAAGACACTAATTATTTATGTGTTTCATATTCACAAAGCTTTGTATTAATTATACATTGTTTGTGATTAATAATCACAAGATAATGTAATCTCTTAGCAAAATCTCTGATGCATATCATGCAATTATTTTTTAAGTGTTCTCCCTGTATTAACATTTAATATTCACAACAGACCTATGAGGTACTATTTATTATCCTCATTTTACAAATAAAGTAACTGAGGCACAGAGAGGTAAAGTAATTTGCTCAAGGTCATACATCAGAGTCAGGATTCAAACACTGGCAATATGACTGCAGAGCTTATGCTTTTAACCACTTCACTAAAAGTCTGGAAGTAACATAATGTAAGATAATAGTCATTCATTCAACAAATATACAAGGTGCTACATTCTGTGCAAGGTAACAGTATCCAAAACTTGATCAAGACACACAACCTTTAAGGAGATTACAATATGGCAACTAGAAGCAATTATATTACTTCAGAGTTATGACTCAAAGCCATGATATTTCTCTGGATTTAAAGATAGGTCACCTTCAAATTACTGTTGTCTAATACTCATAAAAATGATGGCACAACCATAACTTACTTGCAGAACTAATCAGGATTTCTACATCTTCTGAATAACTGTGGATAAAATAATCACTGAATGTTGCTCATCTTTATGTAAAATCTTTTAAGTACAGATACAAAAATTTTTTATGTAATTGCTATGGTGTGTCTAATATATCATTATAAAAGTTTGGTCATAAGGTATGTCAATGTTAAAGGTAACTCAAACAAGAAATAAAGGAAATTAGATAAAGGAGTCCTATTTAGATACATATAGATTAGAACAAACAACTCTATGACCAGGTATGTATAGATTTCCTGCCTCTATTTTTTGTCTTTTCCTTCCTCTTCCCCCTCTTTTAGTCTTAATCATTATTTTGCAATCTCTCAAATGCACAAATAATAAAGTAGGTAGGCTTCTGATTATTTGAAAATATTTTATGAGCTTTAGAGTTTACTTTCATTTGCTCTAGAATGATAGCATAATTAATAGCTATCAAAACCAAAAAGCAATTGTGAATATTATATAATTTATGCAATAAAATGTTAACCTTATTTCAATTTTAACCATTTTATTTCAAAGAACTGTAGTACTGCATACTAAATAATTATGTAAATTAAAATTGGGCCAATAATCTAACAGCAGTAGGTTCTGCCTTTTATCTTTTTTTTTTTTTTTTTTTTTAAAAGAAGGTTGTTCAGAAGCCAAGTGGGTCAGTAAAAGGAATGCAATAATTTTCAGTTCAGTTTGGGTGGTTATTCTGAAGAGCAATGACTTTTTCATTCTTTTGCAATATACAATGGATACCAAAGGATACTTAGCAATATGGAAATCAAATGGGAAAGGTGTTGTAAATGATCTTTTAAAAGGCACCTGGCATATAATTAATATAAAACTATTGGTTTTGCAAATATCATCAATCTACATGTGTATGATACTTCCCTGGTTCCCTGTAAAAAAAAGAGACTGCTCTTAGTATACCACACCATACTCACCTGATTCTGTCTTTCTTCTGGCAACTCTTGGCATATGACTGAAACTTGCAGGTGTTTCCTCAAGATGTGGTTATTTCCTGTCCCTCCTTTTTACTGATGGTCTGCATTTCTATCAGTTAAAAATGTGCATCCTTTAAATATTTGAAGTTTATTTAGCTGTTCAAGTGCTGTGATAGTGACAGTGCTGTTGTGAGATCTGGATTTTTTTTTTTTTTAAAAAGAGGAAGTCTGAAGGTCCCTTGTAGTAAGGTTTCAGGTACACTGATTGAATCTCTCATTTGCTTATGTACAGAGCACTTAATACATTTGCTTTTTAATTTCGTTTGTTTGTTTGAAACTTCTTGGAGAAAGAAAACTGTAGAGAAGCATCTTTTAAAATTATTGCCTAATAAGTGATATTTAAATAAGATCATGCCTTACTGTGGTTTATATCTAACATTCCAAAGATGATATTTTCCTCCTTGATTCAGTCATTATGGGATGACATCAATGATTTTTGTAATAAAAAAAATGCATCTCGTGATTCATTTCACCTCCTTAGATGTGCGGTTTATTCAAACAGTGGTTTTCCTTATGAAATCATGTAAGTTAAGAACCATCTGGAAAGGTTACTGTGGAAACGGCAGGGGATGGGGGGTGGGGCTAGAGAGCAAGAGATGCCATGACAACCTTTTTCGGGTTTCCCAGGAAACATGGGTTGCTATGGGAACTGCATCAGTCAGGTCCGAATTAGTAACTTCCGCTGGAAGGGGTGTCTGCCACTTTAATCCTCTTGTGATACTGCAGACGCTTATCTTTCAGACACAATAGGAAATTTTGTTTCTTTCAACAGCACTAAAAACAGCTGTTTCTAGACTTTGATAAATGTTGGCTGGAACAGATACATAGAACTTCACAGGAATCTGTTAGTTTAACACTTTTGAAATGCTTAGCAAACCTCAAAGAGTTAAACTAGTCAAATCAGGACTTCTTGGGCATTTCCCTTTGTTCAAAGTTGTAGAGACTCTTAAAATTCCGAGAAGGGGATTCAAATAGAAACTACAGTGAAAAACCAAATAAACTTATGGCGAGTTTACATGTCATTGTTCTAGTTAGACTTTTCATCCATGTATCCACAGGGTAGGCAATTGAACTAGATAGTCAATAAGTAATGTTGAAGGGTCCATGAAATGGAAGCATTGTTTAAGTACTTGCCTACTTTACTTAGTAAAGAAACGACTGCCTTTTAATTTTGAGGCTAAGCAGTTACTCTAACTGTTCTTTAGTTTCATTTCCTCTCAGGATGTACTGTTTTTTATAGGGCGTGTACCAGAAATCAAGTTTAACATGTTTCTTGTTCCCAATATGGAGAGAAATGAGGAGGGGAAAAGAAGGAGAGCTGAGAGAATGCAGCCCACTTGCAAAAACAGGCACCTGTTTCAGTATGAAGCAGTAAGGATAGGGAGAATGAAGTGTGCGTCCCACTTCTTCATGTCCTGTCCTTGATGAATGGTCTGGAAATGTATAAAACAAGGGCAGACACAGACCAAGGGGGCACGTTCCACACAATACTGAAAACAGTATGTCAGCTGTATCATATATTAAACATCGGTGAATATCTTTTTAATGTTGACACAGGAGTTGGGATTGTTGTTTGTGGTGCAGGTGGCAGTGGAATTGCCCGTTTTGAAAGGGGTCTGGGGGAAAGAGCTATGGTTCATACCCCCCTCTTCGATCACCATATACTCCGACTTACTCAGAGTCGAGTTACTCCTTGCCTTTCGGAGCTCCTCGGCTGAAGAGGAGAGGTGCTGGCAACTTCCCACGTGCATGTATTGGGCTTGCTCTTCCCCCTCTGTCTCCCGGTGGTAGAAATAATTGAAGTTGGAAACAATCACAGGAACTGGCAACGCAATGGTCAAGACACCGGCGATGGCACAGAGAGATCCCACAATCTTGCCCCCTATGGTCACTGGATGCATGTCACCATAACCTACTGTTGTCATGGTTACCACTGCCCACCAGAAGGCATCCGGGATACTGCTAAAACCTGAAGTGGGGTCGTCTGCCTCGGCAAAGTAGACCGCGCTGGAGAAAAGGATGACCCCAATAAAGAGGAAAAAGATAAGCAGCCCCAACTCCCGCATGGACGCCTTCAGCGTTTGCCCGAGGATCTGCAGCCCCTTGGAGTGGCGGGAGAGCTTGAAGATGCGGAAGACCCTCACCAAGCGGATGACCCTCAGGATGGCCAGGGACATGGCCTGCTGTCCATTGCCCTGTCGCTCTGCCAGCTCGGTGCCCAGAGTGATGAAATAAGGGATGATGGCCACGATGTCTATCAGGTTCATGATATTTCGCGAGAAGGTGGCTTTGCTGGGGCAAGCGAAGAAGCGCACCAGCAGCTCAAAGGAGAACCAAATGATGCACAGGGTCTCCACCACGAAGAAGGGATCCGAGAAGCTGGAGGTTCCCGCGGGGGCCCCCGACGTGCTGTTGCTGGCCGCCTCGAGCACATCCTGCGACGGTGAGGCGGGGTAGTCCTTCTCGTCGCGGAACTCGGGCAGCGTCTCCAGGCAGAAGATGACTATAGAGATAAGGATGACGAGCACGGACACGATGGCGATGCCCCGGGCCGGCCCGGAGCTCTCCGGGTACTCGAAGAGCAGCCACACCTGGCGCTGGAAGTCGCGGCTGGGCAGGGGCCGCTCCTCCTCCCGCAGGAAGCCCTCGTCCTCGCGGAATTTCTCCATGGCCTCCTCGCCCAGCTGGTAGAAGCGGATCTCCTCGGAGAAGATGTCGATGGGCACGTTGACGGGCCGGCGGATGCGGCCCCCAGACTGATAGTAGTAGAGGATGGCGTCGAAGCTGGGCCGGTTGCGGTCGAAGAAGTACTCGTTGCGGAGCGGGTCGAAGTACCTCATGCGCCGCTTGGGGTCGCCCAGCAGCGTCTCCGGGAATTGGCAGAGGGTCTTGAGCTGCGTCTCGAAGCGCAGCCCGGAGATGTTGATGACCACGCGCTCCCCGCAGCAGTCCTGCTCGCCGGCGGCCGGCAGCGCGGGCGGCAGCGGCTCGTAGCGGTCGCAGCCCCCGCCGCCACAGCCGCCCTGAG